GCATTTAGATAATAATAGAGCGTTTGTAGGGTAGTGCACAAGTCCTATCATGCCCTTTGTCGAGCATTTTCCGTCTATAGACTACACTTAGGCTTAATACAGTGAATATCTGTAGTAGTACGACAATACAGTATCAGATAGGTAAAGTAGGACGGTGTAAGTCAGCGTAACAGGAATAGGACAATTTCAATGATGCTGGTAGTGTTAGTGATAATGGTGATATTAGCACATCAGGGCGTTCCTTGCTTTTTGCCCTCTCAATCCTATCCACCAAGCTGTTTCATCTTATTGGTTGACTAAAAGTTATTGAGAAATAGCTCAAGTTTTACCATGTCTTCATGTTGCATGGTGCCATTTACCGTTAACAGGCTAACTTTTGCAGTATCTAAACTCCACCTCGAGGTTTCAGGAGAGGTCTCCTGCTCCATAATCAACTAATATTGCTACATGCTATAACTGTGTCAGTAGCTGAGTAATAGGCAATAAGCATAAGAGATGGGAATATGAGCTTGCCAACTTTCTCATCTTCATGTGGTGATTCTGTAGAACACTTAGGATTTCTTGCGAGCATGCGGTCTCTTTGTAAGGGGTTGGAGATCAGCAGGTACAGGCAGATTACGACGGACTACACGACAGGTTCGGGGTGCTCACGAGCGAGTTCATGTAGATCAACACGGAACACTGCGAATCATACTAACTGTCAATAAAAAATATTGGTCATTTGAAGGGTGCTTGGACGTTCGATACGTCGAAAGGGTTCCCAATATCTATGTAGCATGGTCTTTACAGACACAGACACAACTCTTGAAAAAATTAACTTTAAGACACGTCTCCTTCAATTTGTTGCATATATGTTCTGTTTTTTACCGTATTTAAATTCGGTGTTCCTGTAAACAGGCATCTAATGTGTGTGTGTGACTCCTTGTTTCACGTTTCGTTCCTTCGTCAACGTGAATCCACAAGGAGCCGCGCACATTTGTTTATAAACTGAACATCTCGCAGCCTCTTGGTTGGAGACAGCCAATGTGCGTGCGTGCGCGCGTGCATTTGGTCGTTTTTGGACAAACAAAAGACCGCGTACTTGATAAACCAAAAGTAGAACGATAAAGCCAGTTAGCACGGTGGAGAGACGTTTCCTGCCTCCTTTCAAGACCAACTACCACACAAGTGCTTCGTTAAGGTCTGCAACACCGAAAGGCACTGAGGATGAAGGAACTTCTACTAATTCCGTTGTTTTTCATCAGTTGGGCAACGGCTCAAGCCGGCCAACCCCGGCGGACCCAGGAGCCCTTTAAGGGCATAAATCAGTGCGCGTACATGGAGGTCAATGAGGGTAATGGACAAAAGACCCTCGCTTGGACTTGTGGACTTCCGGAAGAAGGAAAGTCTGGGTAAGAAGCTGTTGCTTGTGTTGAAATTCTGTAAATCAATTAGTGTTTTTCGCGCCATCCTGGCGCCAGCATTCTAATTAAAAATAAGGTTATCCATTAGGGTTGCACCTGCCGGACTGGCGGATTTTGATCCTGTGTTTTAGGATTCCGATCTAATCATGCTCCAAACAAAGTCCACTTATGGCCAGAAATTTGCTTGACCTAATTATTTTTGATTGATAAGCCTACCAAATCAAAACGGGATTCTAAAGAATCTGTACTGGAAGACAAGGCGTCTTAGTGGGCGTCTGTTCCTCAGAAGATGGCTGATTAGGGATTTTTCACTCTGTAGAAGCCCTTACTCTTTCTGAGGAAGACGCATCTAAAACTTGATCGACCTTATTTTGATGTAGAATTAAGGATGCTTCCAGTATAACAAGCATTCCAAATCGACTAGACTGGGAATATTGCGAACATCATCCATCGATACTTTTATAATTACTTGCAGAGTATTTAACGATTCGAAGTGATTATATGCAAAGTAGGTTTCTAGGTCAGCACAGTACGTCTGCCTTTGCTCACAAAACGTTGCCAAAACAGAAGCCTATCTAGTAGACAGGCGAATTTATTTCAAATTTGTAAACTCACACATTCATTTCAACTAAGTGCTTCGTGGCATTGAGATGTGTATATTCGACCATTATCTGATTTATAAGTGTCGTTTCTTTCATCAAGCTTTGTACAAAGTGATGCCTAGTCTAGCTCTTGAATACAGGCTCATAATTTCTCGAATATTCTAATTTCATTTACGCAGGTATCCGACGCAATCAACTATTCAACCCAGATCTTTGCAAAATCTACCATTCCTTCGCATATATTAGGAGTGAGGATGACTTCTAAAGCCGAAGTTTATGGTTAAGACTTCCCAAGCACAAAGGAGTAGATTTTAAATAGCCTCAAATAACATTGAAAAGGCTTTGACATTGAAGTTACTCTGCTGTCTCCCGCCATATCAAATAACCTGTCCCTTGTCATCTCATCTGATGTGTAATCACTAACTTGTCTACATACCTTGGTAGTCCAGAAGTCCGAACTTTTCAGGGCACCGAGTAACTTTCTTTTGCTACGGATGTGCTGAAAGACATGGGAATTCGCCTCTTGATGGAATTCACTTGAGCTCACTCTGTATAAGATGTCGGAGGCTCACTAATTAGGACCCCTTTAAAAAGTTAGCATACTGGTAACTCAGCTCTAGAACTGTCCAAAGAACTTCAAATAATAATTGACAAGACTACTTAGCACTCCAGACTAGTTGTTCTTTAACTGCCAACGGTTCCCATTCAGCGGTTTTGAACTGTAATCGTGATGTAGTTACCGTGCATAAAACAACGGATCGAAAGTCGTTGCAGGAGCAGATTTCCTACTGTCTACATTATATTTAAGTTGACGTCTTTGGCAAACGGGAAGCACCAGCCGACATTTCAAAATAGGCTTTACTTGACAGAAGGCTAAAGAGTTGTTAGATTTGTCAGGGTGCACTGAAAAAAGGTTGGCACACCCATATGCAGGAGTTTGAGTTAAACGAGGAAAAAGTTTCAGCTTTTCTAACCGCTAGTAGAAAGTTTTAATTAAAAGGGGCGTTTGGCAGATCTGAATAATTCAGTTGATCCACTGGTAAAAAACTGTACTGTCCCCGTAGAATTAAAGGCAAAAGTAGCTTATGTAGCCCCACTCATATACCCCTATTCCCAGAATTTTGTCCTGCAAAAACGGTGGTTATAGAGTTGTCTGGGGTGGGAAAATAGGATAGGCAGAGACGGAAATTGTTAGAAGTAAGTATAAAGTGAAAAAATGTAGTCGAAGTTGCTTCCCGCGGCC